GGCTGGGCCCTGCACAGAGTGAGCCTACTGTGGCTCAGCCCAAGGTACCAACGAACCAAAGAGCCGCCACACTTTAATGTCAGCCCCGACGACGTGCCGGGCAGCACCCCTCTTCTTCCGGGGAATGGGGTGTGGGGGTCCCTCTTCTTCCGGGGAATGGGGTGTGGGGGTCCCTCTTCTTCCGGGGAATGGGGTGTGGGAGCCCCTGCACACCCCGAAGGAGCCTTCCAGGACAGACTGTGGCCCCCGCCGGGTGGGACTGCCTTGCCGAGGAGCCCCCCTTCCCTGCCAGCACCTCTCCTCACCCCCACCCATGACCACGCAAGTCCTCCGCTGGCCCATCTATAGAACCAGGAGGTGCTTGGCCTACAACTTCCAACCCTACACAAACTGTCCCTTGAAAGCAGCCCTTGGCCTTGCTTCAGCTGCTCTGGGTCACAGTTCCCTTGGTGAGGTCACTGCACACAGGTCCCTCCCCTCGGCCTCCCCCAGGCCTGGCCGCCGGCTGCTGCGGGCTGAAGGGAGGTGGAGGGAAGCCGCAGCCCCCCGGACCCTTCGTCGTCGAGGGCAGGTTTTCCGCCAGGCCTGTCTTGGGTGTGGCTGGCCTCCCTCCATGCTGCAGGGAAGGTCACCTTGCCTAGGATGGAGGCTATTATTTCAATGTTTTGGTTTAAAATTCCAATAAAAATAAAGGCTTTAAAATCCTTTAATCCTCAAAAGGAAGCTAAGCTGGGACCTGACCGTCTTCCCTGGTGTTTCTCTGCTGTGTCCTCCCTCGCCCCACTTTTTGCCTTTGTCCGGCCAGAATTCCCAGCCTTCTCCCCAGGCTGTGGCCCAGAGCCCCAGGCCGGGGAGGTCCTCCTGTCCCCTCAGCCCTGGCAGGGAGGCGGGGAGCTGCCCTTCCAGGCCGGCCCCGGGGTGCTGGCAAGGCCTGCAGGCAACCGAGGCAGGCTGTGGTCACTGCTGCTTACTCCTTTCGCGGGGGGCCCTCCGGGCTGGGGTCACCCTCAGATGCCCTGGCTACCTCTCCTCCTGCAGCAGGCCCCGGGCCCAGGCCCAGCCACAGACTGGCACAGCCTGTGTTCAGACGGCCGGAGGCGACAGCAGGGACGCTTGTTTCAAACACGCTGGTCTCTGGAGAAGTGCCCTGCGCTGGGCTGCCCGGCTCCTGTGGGCTGAAACACCGGCATCTCCTCGGCCTCAGGGGGAAGGGCTGAACCCCGCAGCCATTTGTTCTCCTGGAGGACAGTGGCAATTAACCCATTAACTTGCTGCCTCTCCCTGATCTTTTATGAAACCTGGCAAACCCAGTTGATTGTTCATGCCCACCACGCGGGAGACGGATGGCCCTGTGACGCTGCTGGTGGCTGCAGGCCACGGGGCCCAGGGCGACATGTTCCAGCATCTGCCCTCCGGCCCCTCAGTGCCCCTTCAGTGCCGTTTAGCCCCACGCAGCCTCAGGGCACAGCCATGGGGCTCCCCCACCCCGTGGCATCTCCAAGTGATTACAGAGCCTAACACAGCCCCACGTGAGCAGGTGTTTCTTGGCTTCTGCCTAGACAGGGAGCTGACGGTGTCTCGTGGGGACCCTCCAGTCCTGGGTCTGTCTGCTCAGTGGAGGCGCTGGCTTGTCGGCAAAGAAGGTTGTTGCTGTATCAGTTTATTTCTTACAGCCTGTTGTGGTGTCAGGGGAGCTAATACCTTCACATCAACCTAACCAAGGACCCGTGACAGGTCCTGCCCAGGGGGCGGCCGCGGGGGAGCTGCTGAGCTGAGGCTGGGAAACGGCACGCAA